CAGAGAAATATTTCTAAGAGTTCTTTGACTTACCGGAAAGAACTACTTAGACACAAAGTACAAAATCAAATTTATAAAATAGAAAAAAGTAAGGTAAATATTTTTAAGTGTTCTTAACTTACGGAAGAACAACTTAGATACAAAATACAAGAAAAATAAACAATCAAAATAATCAAATAAAATATCAAATAATCAGTATATGAACAAATATAAGTCAAAGTAATATTCTAACCTGAAAAGGTCTGAATATACAATAATAAAATATAAATGGTTATCAGGAAATAAGAAATAAAACAATAGCTTAGTCGGAACAATAATAGCACCGACTAGGTCTACAGAAGAAGAGGCAAGCTCGACTGACTGATGAGAGAAATTCCGTCTGCTTTTATATAAAACAAATCCTTTGTTTTACGTAGCAAAAGTGGAATTTCCCTGCATCGAGTCAAATAGAAATTCGGATTTGCCCAAACTTGGAATTTCCAAGTATTTCTCCGAATTTCTAAATGCGTCCGGGACGGCTGTCAGCTTCTGCCTGACACGCCTCCGGAGACACTCTATTGGACAGTTTGTACTTTTCTTGGTTTCATAAGTATTGTCTTATAATTAAAGATTTAGTTAGATAATAATAATATGTGCAATAGTAACTCTTCTTCTTCTTTTTATATAGACATGACTCTGTCTGTTTTTCAATGCGCCAGTCAAATGGTATCTGTTCTTCTCTCCAGATGGCATTAAATATCTTTACTAATAACTTTGTTGCATTTTGTCCAATTTTTTTCATCATTTCACTTGTTATTCTGTCATACCCTGCTGCCTTCCCGTTTTTCATTTCTGCAATAGCTTCTTACAGCTCATTTATGGTTATAGAATCTGCATTATCATCTTCTATACTTTGGTTCAGCAGATTGTTTTCTTTTTGATAACAGTGAGTTTGTAGCATTTTCGTTTCACCCTGTATATCATAAAAATCGAAAAAGATTCTTAATCGTGTTTGCGCTTCTGAGCAATTTTGGAGTCTGTTTTATAATAAACAATTTTTTTTATCTTGGTTCCGCTTAGATAATTATACAGGAAATCAAAATAAGAATCTTTCTGCTTATGCTAGCAGGAGAATTGACAGCCGTGAGAGTTCGTGGAGCATCGCTCAGGCTTAGCCTGTTTTTAGTCTTTGTCGCAATTGAGCACCTAGCCCGTAAGAAAGATGGAAAAATCGATAATGTTGTCAATGAGGTCTACAACAAGATTTGGCAAATTAAAATTAATTTTAAAACTTGTCCGAATGTTAAGACCGCTAATTGTCTTCTCTCTGGTCAATTGAAGAAATACACATGTTAACTTTTATTGCCTACATATCTTGTGCAGTGCAGTGTAAAATTTTTCTATAATGTATTCTGTTCCTTCCAAGAATGTGAGAAAGCCCGATTATCCCTTCTGTGTACAGTTATGTGACCTTGACAGTTATATGATTTTTTTTAATGGCTTAGACATTAGTCATTCCAGCCAATTGCAATAGATTCTTCAACCAGACAAATGCACAACTCTATCCCTAAGTTGTATGATTTCGCATTTATCAGTGCCATCTTACAGTCAAATTTTCTGTTTCAGAACAGTCAGTTTAAGAAATTTTCGCTACCGTGAAATTGTGTTAGTCTCGTTTTGTTTTTAGATTTTAAATTAGTAATTAACTTTTTATTTTTTAATACGGCAAGGTTTAGTACTAAAAGGAAGGCTTTGCCTATTAAAGATAAAGTGCGTGTTATAAGAATATTTGAAAGTGGTCGAAAAATTGCTGACGTGTGTCGGCAATTTGGACTTTTTAATTCGACTGTCGGCTCAATCCTAAAAAAACAAGGATAAAATTTTAATGAGGAAAGAGAAAATGTTAGAAAGAATAGGAAGTGTATTCGTGGTGATATAGATTCAGCTCTACTCAAATGGTTCAAGCAGTGTCGCAGTTCTGATATTCCTGTGTCTGGGCCACTTTGAAAGGAGAAAGCTACAGAGTTTGAAAAACTGTTTGGTGAAGATTTCACATGCTCTAAAGGTCGGTTTAAAGCCCGGCACTCAATTTTCTTCTCGAAAATTGTTGGAGAGTCAAAAGTTGTGGACGAGAACGTGACAGGTGATTGGTTACAAAACACATGGCCACAACTACGACAACCATACCAGGATGAAGATATCTTCAATGGCGATAAAATTGATGTCTTTTAAAAATTAACGCCAGGCAAAACTTTAAATTTCAAAAATCAAAAATGTGTCGGTGGAAATCTTTCAAAACAAAAAGTCGCTTTTGTTTGTGCGAACATAACAGGTACAGAGAAAAGAAAACTTTTGGTTATTGGGAAAAGTTTACATCCCAGATGTTTCAAAAACATAAAAACACTAACTGTAAACTACATAGCCAATAAAAAAGAGTAGATGACTTTTGCTATTTTTGAAGAATTGAAAAAATGGAAGAAGGAACTCTCTTAAGAAAAAAACAATATTCTTCTCTTAGTTGACAACTGTGCAGCCCATCCCAAGCTTAATTTGACCAATATCAACCTAGTTTTCTTAGCAACCAACTGCAGCGTTTCTTGCAGCCTATGGACCAAGGAGTCATAAGAAGTTTTAAGATTAAAGAAGATTAAAAGGATGATTTTTTGTTTGGACAATGGGAAACCCGTGAACATTACCATCCTTAATGCAGTTCAGTTTTTAGACAATGCATGGATTGCGGTTATGTCAGTGAAAATTTGTAAGTGCTTTCGTGAAGCTAAGTTGACTGTAGTTTCTCCCAATGTTCAGGATGTTGACGAGGATGCTTTGTCAGAGTGGATACAAAAATTTAATGTAAACCAGAAAGAGTTTAGAAATGATCTTGACTCCTAAATTTCAGTAGACAATCAGGTAGAAAAATTTCAAGTTTTAAGTGATAAAGAAATTGTGGAACAAGTGAAAAATGTTGAAATGGATGTTGATGAAGAAAATACTTCCGAAAATGGTCACTAACGATGTGTACTATAAACGCCAACTGTATATGTATGCCTTTAATTTACATGTCCTCTCTTCTAGTCAGTCTATTTTTTATTCCTATCATGAAGGAATGGCTAAAAAAGGATCAAACTATGTTGCATCTTTCCTTCTCCATTTTATCAATAATTACTTACAAGACCATGTTGAAGAACTACAAATCTTCTGTAACTCTGCCAAAAGACAAAATGAAAACTTTACTATTTTTCTATTTATTCATTCCTATTGGGAGCGTGACAATAATGTAGGATTGTGTGATTTGTAGAGCTCCTCTGAGGTCCCAGAAGAGTTGAAGAAGTCATTAGGCATTCCCGTTCCAAACTATCGCTGTTTGTCCTACTGAGTGTGTCACAAAACATGGTACTGGATTGGAAATCATTTTTAGACATAATATATTTACAAAACTGCCCATTTAAAACTCAGAGTTTGAAGGAAATAGTAACTTATCTTCTACTGTTCAACATACAATGGGCCAGTACTATCTGGATTAATACAAAAACGCTTTGATCAAAACTCAGCTTTAAGATGTGGAGAATTGTTCCTGCCTGTTCTGGTATACAATGGTAAAGTTATAAGAAACTTTTAAATAAAAATGAGATTTATTCATTTTTTTTTAATTTTTAGATACAGGTCCTTTACCAATTCCAAAGGCTAAGTTTATCGACCTAATGAGTCTTATGGGGTTTTGCAGTCCCAAAGCATTGACACTTTTTAAAGAATGTGGCTCATCTTTAGCAGTAAGTTTAAATTATTTATATGTTGGTAAATAAAAAAAACATTAAAAAATATATATTAGTTTTCTTTTTTATTTGAAGAATAAAAATAAGTGGTTTTTGTCTGTTTTAGATCATATTGCTGCTTTTGTTCCTGCATAACCATGAGTGAGTTTTGCAATAAAGCCGACTTTAGTTTTTGTAATCCAAAAAACTGTAGTTATAATACTTTATAAAAGGTTAAATTCCTTTTTTATGTAAACTACTGTTTAAAATCCCTTTTTGAAATAAAAATAATTGGTTTTCAATATTAACATTCAATTTACTCAGTTGTGAAAAGAAACACATATCTGGTTTTTCCCTGCACCCTTCATATGTAAGTCAATCCAAAAGAGAATATATAGAAAACTAAACTTTGGCACTAGAAATGATGAGTTCATATATTAGAACTAACAGTAATAGCATAATATAAAAAATCAACTTACTAGTATCACATACAAAAGATGACAAAACTATGTTTAAATTTGGTGAATTTCTGTAAAGTCATAGCCGTTAAATGCAGTAACACAACAAAAGAGGTTTGAATATATGCAATGCAGATTAACAAAAGATGTCATTTTCATTATAAGACAGTTGAAGGAAAATATAGGAATAATAAAACAAATAATCATCTTGAGAACACATATGATAACAATAAAGAGTCCTCAGCCCTCAGAAAGATTACGTGCCTGTTTCTTGTCTGTACTATTGGATTGTTTCTTTGATTGGGGACTTAATCCATTAACTGAACTAAAATTACTCCAGTTCTTATTTATTCTCGTTAATTTTGGATCATATAGCAAAGAAACTACAGTGTAACAGTTCTTGGTGATTAATTATGATGCAGTGTTAGTAGTAAATATTGAAAAGAAGTTAGAGCAACAACTTAAACAATGAGGGCAACCTAGTGAAGAAAAAGATTTAAAACTTAGTAGGAAGAGTCCAAATACTACAACAAATAAACTAATGATTTTAAATGTTCACATGAATAAAACATACTAGTCATAAGTATCTAGCAGTATTAAAAATAATGCACAGCTAATAGAAATTTACAGATAAGTCTACAACTAAAACACTTTAAAATGTGGTTCCTAATAAACACAACATATGTTTATCCACAGCCATGTTAACAAAATCCAAATATCGAAAATGTTTGGCATGTCATAATTAATATGTATTTAAATAACAAACAAGAATTTAAATTTGACCTAAGAAATCTTGTTTATTATTTAAATTCCTTGCAAACTAAAATTATGTAAAGATTCTTTTATTGTAAAATAAACTTATTTTAATCATCTAACATATTAAAAAAAACATATATATTAAAGATCAATCATTGTTTTCACTTTCACTAGATTCATCATCAGAATCAGACCCACTAGATTCCTCTTCATCAAAAACAGGTCTATTTCTATTTACAAAAAGGTCATCCTCATCATCACTGTCCTCTTTCTTATCATCAAATTCTTTGGGCCACACATTGTCTTTTTTAAAATACTTTATATGTTCTGGTGTAAGAATCCTAACCATTTCAGCTTTAACTTTATCACCTTCTTCAATTGGTTCTGTAAGAACATAATCACCTCTCTTCACCCAAACATTTTTCCTAAACTTTGTTGGCATGGACACAAGGAAAACAGATTTGTCAGGAGCTTCAACTTCATGTAAGTTATTTCCTCTACTATTAAGAACTCGCACAATTTGTTGGTTTTCAGTTGGAGGGGAAAAGTCATCTTGAAGTACTTCTAGGAGTACATGCTTCCTTTTCGTTGCTCGAGACATTACTAAAAATAGAATAGTTTTGTTAAATAAATCTAAAATAAATATTTAGATAGCCAACAAATAGGAATTGTTAGTTTCTTTCATATGAACTTAAAATATGTTTTCAGTGTCTGGTATTTATTTATTACTTAAATTTCTACATGACTAAAAATCGTATGCCTGAAATAAACAATAATAAACAGGAATAAAGAACTGACTTAGTTTTAAAGTTATGTTTCAATTACTTTATTATATCATATATTTATATCAAATTAGTTGTAAAGAAAAATAAACTTTTATCAATATTTTTAAGGTAAATTATTAATTAATTATTAATTCTGTTCTAAAACCTATAAAAAAATAATTCTTCATGAAAAATTGGTAGAACTTCTCAAAAAGGTTACCAATGCAATGCTTCAAATTTTACATTTATAAATAAAAACTTACCACATTCATTTGCTCATTTAAATACTAGAAAATAATTACACCTTCCTTTCAAATGTGTTAAATTACCAACTGCCTTTGAATTATCTGATTTACGTTAGATTGAACTGTATACATTTAAAAAGTTTCTCAAAAGGATATAAAAAATGTAAAAATTTAAGGTTAGGATGGTTAGGATGAAAAAAAAACATGAAATTATTAGAAAGTGTCAAAAATGACATTCCACCATAGAATATGTTAAGTGTTTCTTCTTCTTATTCTCTAATGAAATCATGTGTAGAGATAGGAAGCAGTTAAAATAATACTGTTCTGAAGCCATTTCCTTGTGACAACTTAATATTATTTGCTATCTTTAATCAGAATTAATCACAATTTTAGTTGAAAATACATACATTTATTTTGACGTTTCGATTTTCATGTTTTTTTAACGATTTCCATTTTGGAAATCGAAATGTCAAAATAAACTGAAAACTATTTTTAACTGAAATTGTGATTAATTCCCATTAAAAATAGTAAATAATGCAATTATAAACGTCTGAATAAGAAACAATTGTTTGAAGGCCAAAAATAAGTATAATAATTTATACACAAGAAGAAAGAAATAATAAACAATGATAATAGTAAATTACATTGGTTACAGTAGAGATGTGTAAACCTATATTTAGCAAGACAAAAGTCGACCTTCGAATGACAGTGTTTTATTTTTAATAAGTGTTTCCAACAAACCTGGCTTTAGGATGATGTAACTGTCACATCTGACAGATAACGTCAGAAGTTGTCTATTTTCACTGGTGACTAATTTTTAAGAATTAGTAATTTGTTTCGTATTTTTTTCTTAACAAAAGGGCAAAATGAGCTTTTTTGGAAAACTGTTCGGGGGGAAAAAGGAAGAGGTGGCCCCTAGTCCTGGGGAGGCTATTCAAAAACTCAGAGAGACTGAAGAAATGTTAATAAAAAAACAGGATTTTTTAGAAAAGAAGATAGAAGAATATACCTTAGTAGCAAAGAAAAATGCGTCGAAAAATAAAAGAGGTGTGTATAACATTTATTATAAAGGTTTTTTGGCAAAAGATAAACTAAATATATTGTGCAAGATAAGGATGTCCTTTGAGAAACTACTTATTACTCACTTAAAGGACAAATCATTCCATATGATCTTGTATACTTAATGAACAAGTATTATTCAAGGATAACTTTTACCATTCCATTCGTAATGTTTTAATATCCCAGACGTTAATAACATTGATTGAAAAAATATCAATGACCTTATTAAGTACTCTTCTCACTGGGATTTTTCAAGTTATTGTAAATTTCTCTTAATAGTAAATTAGTTGTTTCCTATCAGTTGTAATAATGTGAAAATTGGTAATTAGACTACAAAAAAATTGTTTATTGCATACAATCACTAAGAGATGTGATAAATGAGTCATCATTGTGATAAATATTGTAGTATCAGTAGTGAAAATATTTTTAATTTCACACAATTTTTTTTGCTATACTGTAAACAGAATTATCTTTCCAAATTTGTGTAAAAAATGTTACTAGTGAATACAAGAACAAAAGAAGAATTTAGATGCTATATAAGTATATGCCCTTAGTATGGTCATCAAAAGAAAAATTACGTAGAAGTGTTTGGCTGTAATAGCTCTACTAAGTATGTTTATTACAGATGTTGTCACTTGTGTAAGAAAAAAAGGTCACTTGTACCAGATATCATGGGATATTTGACCTACATTCTGAAAGCTTGGTCTAAAGACAATAATAAATAATGAATACATACTATATAATTAGTTATAGTTACTCAAGACACATCTGCCATATCAACATGACAATAAAATATTATTTACTGTTATGTGTGTACCAAAGAGTTCTTAATATATGGTACATTTTCTATTATCCAAAAGAGTTTGTACCCCTACACTTACTGTCACATATTTGCATGAAAGGTCAATTGTTTTCGTATTTGCCACATTCAGAGGAACATTAATTCCTTGAGCTACTTACTCGTGACACAACCTATAAACTATAAGAAGAGTCATCAATAAATAAATTCTGGCAATATCAGGCAACTTTTCACATAAATTGCTTTTTGCCTACTACATATTATATACTTAAATAAACCATTATGTATGTAATGCTAGTATGTTTTTTAGTTTCACTAAAAACCCATTGGGCTTTGTGCATAGGGGTGGCAAAGTATAAAGAGAATAAATATTGTATAATCTTGAGTTTTTAAGGACCAATATTGTTGATTTTTCATATAACCTATGTAAAAGTGGAAGTAGATTCATTAATAATCTGGCAAATCCAGATATAACAAGACATTTTTCAACAAGTTTACTTATTTGTTCGTAATATTCATGTAAAGCAAATGATTATATGAATAATTTTATTTAATTTGGTTAGGTATCTGATATCAGTTTTTTGTAAGATTTCTCTCCTTTAACTTGTTTACTTTATCTAATCTGAATTCCTTTTTTAATTCTAACATGTTGCAGAAGTCATATTGAAGTTTTTTTTCTTTTGCACTTTTCTTCCATATTTTTCATTTATTAGCTAAACTGAAAGTTTTATTTATGTTTTGTTTGTTATATTTAAGTATGTTTTTGAATGTTTTATAGATTTGAATCATTTCTGTTTTAGGTGAAATGCTCAATACCATATTCCCCCTTGTCTTTTTGTAAGAAAAATGGCATGTTTTTAGTTTCAGACAATAATTTGAGTTTTGTTGCTCTTGATGTTATATTTCAATTGTCATAAATCATTCAGCTGCCGTTTTTTGTCTGTAGATTCTTCTTCTACTGATTAATATCCTCTATTATGCATATTAATTTTATATTAAAGACTTACAATAAACTAAAAATTTTAGATGTATGATGGTATATATTTTTATTAAAAAATCTAAACATTAAAATTATCTTTAAAACGTTTTTAGTCCAGTAGTTCCATCATCAGTGAAAAATCTTAGTAGCTGAAACTAGTCACTTATATAGGTATAGTCTGTCAGTCAGCTGAGTTGGCTGGTTTCAATCGTTGGATGTAAACATCCATTTTTCAAACAGGGAAAAAGTTCCCTTAAAGTGATATCCTATGACATTGATCATGTGTCAATACATGATTATATTCTAATAAGTTTATCATGTAATCTAAAGGTTATTGCACCTATATAAGTGGCTAGTTTCAACTACACACATCAAAATAATTTAGGGAACACTTATATTAATAGCTCTAAATCAATTTTAGCTGCAAATTAAAAATAAATTAATGTTTTTAATGGTTTTAATTGTTTTGTTGATTACTGTACCAAATTGAACGGGAATGCTGATAAGAATGGCTATAAAAAATTTAACAAAACTTCAATATGCTTTAAAAGTAATATTTCTTTATTGGTACTTATTTTCGATGTCTATGTGGATTTTTATTTAGTTTTGCAATTGATAATAATAGAGATATCATTTAAATTGTGAAATGCAGTTGCATGCTATCTACATGCTTCAAGCTGGCAGAAGTCAAAGAGATGTTGCTGAGGTCCCCCATGTGAATAGAAGTGTCATTATTCATTTGTGGTTAAGCCGTCAAAAAACTGGTGATGTTGTTAAATATCATACTGGCGAGCAATAAAACTTTCAATCCAGAATTTTAAGAATAAGGAGCTGTAAGGATGTAGAACGAAACATCCTAAATGATACGGCCTCAATCCTAAACAGATAGGTTGAATTTTTCCATGCAAAATTTAATGATCATCATATCGAAGAATCAGATAACACCTTAGCAAATCGAAATGACTGGAATCCTTTTAACCCAAACGAAAGACCACCTACCAGCGAAAACGTTGCCTAAGCCATTAGAAAGCTTAAAAATAATAAATCACCAGGAATTGATCAAATTTGCAGTGAGTTCTACAAGAATGGTGGCGATGCCTTACTACAGACACTGCATAAGCTTTTACTTCTTGTTTGGCATAATGAGACCATGCCTTGTGAATGGTCTCAAGGCGTGATATTCCCGTTGCATAAAAAAGGTGACCAGCTCCAGTGTGACAACTATAGAGGTATAACCCTGTTAACAACTGCTTACAAAATACTAGCAAATATTCTCTACGAAAGGCTGCAAGTTTACACAGTGGGCATAGTTGATAAATATCAAGCTGGATTCACTCCAAAAAAATCAAAAATTGACCAGATTCATTCAATAAGACAGATTCTCGAGAAATCATTAGAATTCAATATTGAAACCCATCATCTATTCGTCGACTTCAAGGCCGCATACTACAGTGTCAAGAGAACAGTGCTATACCAATCAATGCATGAGTTTGGTATACCAGAGAAACTTATCCGACTAACGAGAATGACAATGTCTAACTTAGAAGCCACTGTTAGAATACAGGGAGAGAATTCTAGATCCTTTGAGATAAAGGATGGACTCAGACAAGGGGATGCTCTGGCTTGCCTCCCATTTTATATTGCCTTAGAAAGGCAGTCCGAGATACACGAATTAGGGATGGCGGTACTATTTACAATAGGTCGATACAAGTCTTAGCATATGCTGATGACATTGACATAATAGGGCGTAGCAAACGAGATGTTGAGCAATATATCCTAGAATTGGAAACAGCGGCGAAACAGGTCGGTCTAGTCATCAACTAAGACAAAACCAAGTACATGTTGGTTACAAAGGATCCGATAGCAAAAGGAACGAGAAACAGACTTTGGAAGTCATACCTTTGGACGTGTTGACAACTTCACATACCTTGGGTCGCTATTGACTGCTACCAATAAAACAAGCGAATAAATCAAAAGACGAATAAATCTTAGAAATAGGGCATACTATGGACTCCAAAAGCATTTCCACTTAAGAAACAAGAAGAACTAAAATTATTATATACAAAACATTGCTGAGGCCGGTCCTCACATGTGGAGCAGAAACATGGACTCTAACGCAGGAAGATTGTCCGCATGTGTCCTGTGATCTGTATGTGTTTTCTTCCTAATATTTCATTCAAACATTCCACTTCTCACTTTGTTCTATTAAGATATTTTATTTCCTGCCTTAGCTTCCCTTGATTTTTAAACATCTATCTCTTTATGATATGACTATCTTCCTTTTAAAATGATTTTTAATCATATTTACTATGTATTGTCTTGTCAGATATTTATGGTTCCTCATTTCTTTTCATACTTTTCTTTACCTAATTGTACATTTTTAAAATGGAATATATAATGAATTCATAATACATAAATTCTAATTTTATCTTAGTTTTATCTGGCAGCATAGTGAGAGGATTAAGATAAGGCCATAAACAGCTCAGGTCATAAAATATTCTTGTGTGACTTTAGTTGAATTGCCTTTGTATGTTACACCTCTTATTTTATTTTATGAATATTTCGATATTATTGTGTCTTTATCTTGGAATTGGCTTAGGATAGGTTGAAGGATATTTGTCATAAGTAGGATAAAATCACAATTCTCATTAGCATTTCACAGGAGAATAACAACTAAGAACAGTCCAGGTAATTGTCTTAAAAACTGTTCATTTCCGTGTGGTCACAATAGTATAATTTATTATGATTAAAGAAAAGCATTTTACAAAGAAAGAACATATGTAATGATTGTCAATTTTGCAATACAGAAACGTTAACACATCGTTTTTCTGCTTTGCGAAATAGTTTGTGTATTCGAGAGGTGATTGAATCTAATAACTATTAGATTTTGCATTTATTACTTCTACAGGTCAATGACACATTACTACATCTCTTTGTAGGTTGAAAAAAGTTGTGTTATTATTAAAAAAAAAATTTAAAACCTACTTAAACAAAAACCAAAAAAATAGATATACAAATATATACATTTGCTACTTATAGCTTTAATAAATATTTACAAAATGTACTAGATGTCTTTATTCACACAATAATTTGGTACACAATTCACACAATAATAACAGAGAAAAACATGTTTATTGGGTGCTCCCAAAGGGCTGTCAGAGTATTTTTGCCCATAGTAATTACATTGGCATTTATTTTAGGGCAATATGTCTTGTGACATCATATTTTGTATATAATTAAAATATGTATATAATTTTATTGCCCATGTATTATCTCTAGATTGGTTATCAGGGTATCTTTGTTTTCTATAATTCTTCTTCTTCTTAAAGTGCCCTCTCCTCAATGGATGTTGACTACTACAATTGCAAACTCTTTTCTGTCTTCAGTTTTTCTTATTAGCTGTTCAAAATTTGACCCTGTCCATTGTCAGATGTTTTTTCGTCACAACAGTCTTTTTCTTCCTAGTCCTCTCTTTCTCTCTAGAAAAGTACTCATTCCTTGTCTATTCTCTGCAGTACTTCTTTGTATGAACTATGCGATGTCCATGAAATCTTGAGGATTCTGTGGTAGATTCACATTTCAAAGTCCTCCAATTTATTTACCATTGATGTTTTAAGGATCAGCATTTCAAATGCTGAGCTTAGTTAACCAGACATAGAATTTTTAGTTTTATTCAAGAGTCACATAGCAGCCTCTTGATTTTTTGAAAGATTTTTTGGACTGTTCTATTTTTGGATCTTATTTCTAGATCAGTATTTAGACTTCTATCGATTAAACATCCCATGTGCCCTTTTAGTGTGCAAGGCTGAGGTACATTTTGGTTTATTCAGATTGACATCCTTTAGTTTTCTTAATGTTTATTTTCATACAAAATTGGTCACAGATCCAGTTGGTTCTCTTGATGAGTATTCATAGACTCAAGTCAGAATCTACAATCAACACCATATCATTCGGGTATATGAAGCTGTTGATATTTACTCCATTCATCCTTGCAATCCTCCAGGGCCTCTTGATAATGTAGTAACTTGGAGTAAATATTAAATAGCAAGGGTGAAAAAACACATTCTTGCCTAACTCCTTTCCTAATTCCTACTTCTGCAGACATGGATGTTGGCGACCATCATGGTAATCTATACTTTGCACACTGCTGCTCTGAAAAGATTTGTGGTTGTTATGTTGAACCACTTACATAGATTTTTCAGCCAGGAATTCCTTCGCTTTCTTGTCCGTGTTTTTCTTCTACTTTTCCTTGCAGAAGTCATTGCAGCAATCCATATCTTTCGCTGGTCCTCATGATGTAACCAGGGTATTCGATTTTGGCTGTTTTTATTGTGGTTAACAACTCTTTTCCTTTTTGCACTCTTAATAAAATATCCTTGTTAGTAATGTGGTCGGTATAGGATATCTTCAGGATTTGACGATAAAGCCACATTTCGAAAGCATCAATTTTCTTACAGCTAGCGTCTGTGAGAGTCCACGACTCAACTCCCTACAACAGTATAGGAAATATATAACATCGATTTTGATACCGATTTTACTCTGGTATTTTGGATCTAGTACAAGTTTCTTAATATTGTTCTGAAGCTATTTTCTTGTGGCATTGTAAATTAATTACTATTTATAACTGGGAATAAGCCACAATTAAAGATAAAAAATACGTTTATTGACGTTTCAATTTCCAATTCGGAAATCGTTCTCAAAATACAAACAGTAAATTAAACAAATTTTGTTTTTTGTTACATAGTGAAAAAATTCTTCTAATAATTTAATTTTATCTGACTCATTTATATTGACAATTCAGACATACATTATGCATTTTAAAGTAGACGACTTTAAAATGATATTGCCAATATTGTTGAGTTGCGCTCCTGGGACGACTTTACTATAAGATAGTTCATTCGATTACATGAAATCAACTTTAACTTGAGAATATCCGTCAGAAAAAATCATAGCATGTAATTTGTCTTTAAAAAGACAAACACATGACATGATGACAGTAAAATTCTCCTGTTAGTGATTCCATAGTAAATTATGAGGGAAAAACCAGGAAAAAAACCTCATAATACTATCCCGACATTGTAAGTATTTGTTCGTGAATTTAGTTTACCTTCAATAAACATCAAAATTCTGATTTTATATGTTACGTTATTTAAAAAACATAAATGATGTATCCTCTATATGTTACTGACTTACTAATACTGGTATTTTCTTATTAATAACTTCCTCTTTCAATATTGGTAACCAGATCCTACTACATTCTGCCGAGGAATTTGCGACACAATTGGCCTCATTTAGCATAATTAGAGCCGCTTCTTTGATTTTTCTTTTTTTACCATCCGTTTCTTTTAGGACTATATTTGAATTATTCCATTGAACCCTATGTTCATTATCCCATGCGTGTTTACATATTTGAGATCTATCAAATTCTCTATTTTTAATATAAGATTGATGTTCACTTATTCTAACATTTAATGGCCTTGATGATTCACCTAAATAAAACTGATCGCATTCACAAGGTATTTTATAAATGCAATTCTTTGTCCTTTCTTGTTCATTGTTAGGTTTGGTTTTGGACAAAATAGATCTCAACGTGTTTGTTGTTTTGAATGTTGTTGAAATATTGAATTTATTTCCTATCCTTTTAAGTTTTTCTGATAATCCTTTTATGTACGGTATTGTTATTTTCCTCATATTATTCCTTGTGTATGCTGTAGGATCTCGTTCTAAGTTATTCTGTTCTATTCGATCGATTGTTGAAAATTCCTTATTTATAAACGATAAAGGATAATCATTTTTTAATAAAACAGATGTTAACAAATGTTTCTCCTCCAAGAACGAATTTTCGTTAGAGCAAGTAATTTTGGCTCTATCGTATAAGGATTTAATTATTCCCTTTTTTACATTAATATTATGATTTGATTTGAAATTTAAATATCTATTGGTGTGTGTTGGTTTTCTATACACCTGAGTCTCATATCCAGTATCGTTCTTAGAGATTAAAACATCCAGGAAAGGTAGCGTGTTATTATATTCCTTTTCCATGGTAAATGTTATTGTCTCTTCTTTATCGTTTATATCATTTAGGAATGTGTCCAACAACTCTGATCCATGAGGCCATATTGAGAATACATCATCTACATACCTCCACCATACTGTGGGTTTGAAATTTTGTTTAGAAATGATATTTGTTTCAAAATCTTCCATAAATATATCGGCTAAGAATGGAGATAAACTAGAGCCCATTGCTAGACCAAAATTTTGTTTATAGAATTCATTATTTAGTTGAAAGTATGTATTATCAGTACATAATGTTAATAACTCCATTATAGCCGATATGTTTAGTCTTGTTCTAGTTGCCAATGAATCATCACTCTCTAATTTTCTCTTGACTATACTTAAAGTCTTATTTAATGGCACATTCGTAAATAAACTATTTATGTCAAAACTTACCAAAGTATTATTTGAATTAAATTCAATATTTGATAATTTATTTAAAAAATGTTGTGTATTTTTTATGAATGTGTCATTTTTATTTGTATAAGGTTTTAAAATATTTAATAAAAATTTTGATAGTTCACTACAAGGAGAATTCATGGTACTACAAATGGGTCTAAGTGGTATATTCGTTTTATGAATTTTCGGTACTCCATAAAAATGAGGAGTCTTACTGTAATGAGGTGTAATTAATCCTCTCTGATAACTTGTATATATAGAACTTTATTCAAGTTTAAAGATGTTTTAACACTCATATCTTCCTCTTCTATGACTATATGGTCACATGAATAAAAAAGTTCAGTTGGAAGATGCCAGAACTCATGGCTGAAAGACCTGAAGAGATGGTTTGACTGGACATCCACAGAAATCTTTTGTGCAGCAGTTTCTAAAGCTACAATTGCCATTTGGATGGCCATCGTTCGAAAGGAGACGGTTCAATAAGAAGAAGAACAGTTTCATGATGGTATGCTGTGGAATTTATCTGTTCAATATGTAATAATGGGCCAATTTTTTAGCAAAAACTTTACTTCGATCTTACACTATCTTCCTTGGTACTCTATGTCTCAAAATTAAGTACTTGACCATTGACACCATTTGTAACTCTTGGTTTTTATATAATCTTCCTTTATGTACTTAGTTAGTTTACACAGTAGCGTTAGTATATATTTTTATTATCTCTTCATCTAACTCTATTGGATGATTAACTACTTAAAAATTTGATTTCAACCATACTAATACAATAACATCGTAATTCATAGTTGCACTCCAAGCTCTCAAAAAGAAGAAACGATTGGAAAAGACCCAACTACAAATAGATGGAACCCTTACAACTATTGAAATGCAGAGGGAAGCCCTCGAAGGAGCTAGCACAAATACTGCTGTATTAGATTCTATGAAAAATGCTGCAGATGCCCTTAAGAAAGCTCATAAGAACTTGTAAGTATTTTTTATAATTAATTCATGTTCATAGTTTAATTCGTAAGGTTAACCATAAAAATTTATTTTATTTATAGAGACAAATGACACATAATAGAATTAGTGTATCAAAAGGTGTCTAAAGAAATAACAAAAAGATATCTGCGCCTGGATACGTTTTTGCTAGAGGTGCTAGAATTTATCATCCTTTTGTTTCATCATCATCTTCATCCAGCCTTCATTTATTACGTCCAGTGCTGAACATAGGCCTCCCTTAAACTCCTCAATTTTTCATGATTTTGTGCTCTTTGTTGCCAATTTTTGGTGATACGCATGATGTCGTTAGCCCAACGTGTAGGTCTTCTTCTTTGAGTGCCTCTCCTATCGGAGATTGGATATCATTATGGCGATTCTAATTTTATTCACTGCTGTTTTGAATAATTCGTTAGTGGTACAGCCAAACCACTCTCTTAAATTTCTCATCCAGGACATTCTTCTACGCCCCGGATTTCTGCGTCCTTGGATTTTTCCCTGCATTATATTTTGTAGGAATGTGTACTTTTGTCCTCTCATTAGGTGGCCTAAGTATTTAAGTTTTCTCTTTTTTATGTTCATAACTTCTGGATCGTTATTTATTTGTTCAACGTGTAGGTGGTCTTCCTCTACTACGTTTGTCTACTCTTAGCCTCCAATTGTTATTTTGTCTGTCCATTGTGAGTCATGCATTTTCGCTACATGGCCTGTCCAGTTCCATTTCACTTTCGCTATGCATTCCACAACATCAGCAATACTCGTAATTCTTCGCAGATTTTCGTTTCTTATTCGGCCCCGTAGTCGTAGCCGTAGTCTTGGTTAGAGTCATAGTTTCCGCCCCATAGGTCATGACCGATATTACGCATTGGTCAAATACTTTTCTTTTGAGACTAATTGGTATGTTGGCCCTAAATGTGTCTCGCAGTTTTCCAAAGGCTGCCCACGCTAAGTAACTTATCTTTGGACATCACATGTTGCATGACCCAAATACGTATATTTCTCCACCAGTTCTACCACTTTGTCTTTAATAGTTATATGGTTGTTGGGGACCATATTTTTCATAAACTTAGTTTGTCAAGTTCATTATGAGGCGCACCTTCGAACATGCAAAGTACAATTCATTTAACATATCTGTGGCTTCTTCTAAATTATCTGTGATAAGTTCAATATCATCTGTGAAACGGAGATGGTTAAGCATTTCGCCGTCTATTGTTACTCCTCTGTGGTCCCAATTGACCATCTTAATGGCATATTCTAATGCCGTTATGAATAATTTCGGTGACAATGTTTCTTGCCTTTTCCCACTTTTTAATTTTATTGGTCGGGTTTTATCTTGTATATTAACAGTCATATCTTAACTGTCTATTTCGATCGTGTCGATCGCTTTATGAAAATCTATGAAGGTAAGAACAAGAGGTTTGTTGTATTCTATAGATTTTTCAATGAATGTCTTTACTGTATGGAGGTGATCATTTGTACCATAAATTGATCGCAATCCTGCCTGCTCTCTCGAGAGAACCTTTTGTTTATGTTGATAAAATTAATTTGGTTTCTGCTGTTTTTTTTAGTGTATAACCGAGAACTTTCCATATTTAGTGCCTACTTGGCAGTAATTCAAAAAATTGATTCATGGAAACGATGTCCGTCTTTGACAGAACTGGATTAACCTTCCTCCTCTTTCATTTCTTGTTCTAAGACCTCTCTTTCACAACATTCTCAACTGTACCCTGTCCGAGTTTGGGAGATAAAATTGCCCATGACGATATTTGATTCATGGTCTTTTGTGAGTTTTAGAGATACTTGGTGTCTGATAGCTATTTTCTAGTCCTATTTTAATAGATCTAACTGAGATTCATGTTAGAGGGCCCCTAGTTAATCTGCAATAGTCTTCCTTCCAGTGGCCGGTCTCAGCTTTTGTGGAGGCAGAGTTCTGAACTAAGTAGAGATTCTTCAGCGCTCCGCAGAAGACAGATTGGGCGGAGAAGTCCTCAACCCCGACACGTCGCGTCCCATATGGCTGATAGGGGACGTCCTGTATATTATACAGGATAGGTGCGAATAAGGTTCGCCAAATAAGCACCTGCGGATCAACTGAGGACATGGTATAGGGCAGCAACTATGTCATTACTAACTCCAAGACTGGGGAAGAATTACTTCTTAATAGGCTTGGAATCAGATACTTATGGGCGACAATCAGATATTGGTTTAATCGGTTATAATACTGCGGTGTAAAAGGCAAAGAGAAACCAACACACTAAATATTCTCAAGATATTATAACTATGGCAAGTTACGGAAAACAAAAGGTTCCTAGTCCGTGGCAGACCTTAGGGGTGCTAAGAATCCCCACGACAAATGCTAGGAACCACCTGAAAGTAGAAAACAAGAATTGCAACTTAAAAATTGGAACCTGGAATGCAAAATCTCTCTTTTTGCCAGGAAAATCTCATAACATCGTGAGAGAGATGAAAAGAATGGGAGTCAACATTCTCGGAGTCAGTGAAGTTAGATGGCCTGGATCTAGACAGACAAACATCGATAACCATATAATATACTATGCTGGTAATGACGATCCTCATCATTATAACGGAGTGGCATTTATAGTTGACCAGAAAAGTAGTAAATGTATAAAGAACTTTATACCTATATCTGATAGAGTAGCTATGCTGCAAATTAATACCACTCCCGTAATATTAACTTTATTCAAGTCTATGCTCCTACAACAGAAAATCCAAAAAGAGAAGTACGAGAATTCTACCACGAGATCATACAGCTAATGAAGATCACAAAGAAAAATGCTGTAAACAATATTATGGGAGATTTTAATGCCAAAATAGGTGAAGGTCGGACCGAAGACGTAGTAGGAAATTTTGGTTTGGGCCAAAGAAATGATAGAGGAGAAATACTGGTCCAGTTTTGCCAAAAAGAAAATCTAATGATCGCAAACACCTGGTTTAAACAATCAAAAAGAAGATCATATACATGGAAAGCACCTGGCGATAATCAAAACCGCATAATAAGAAACCAGATTGATTATATATTAATTGACAAGCGTTATAGAAATGGAATCAGGGCCGTTAAAACATATCCCAGGACGGACATCGTTTCCGACCACAATCCTGTTATCGGTAAAATCTCAATTAAACTGAAGACAATCAAATGCAGAGAGAAGATAAAACCTAGCCTCGAAAAACTTAAAGATCCAATAGTACAGGCAGAAATAGAGAAAACACCCAATGAGACACTCAAAGAAAAGTTCAGTGAAGCACCCGCGGAAGCAGAAGACACAATAGAAAGTATTTGGCACACCTTCAAAACAACCATCACAACTATACAAAGAGAACAACTACAAGACAACATCAGGAAAACAAAGAATACATGGATGACAGACGAAGTCCTAGGACTGATGGACATAAGAAGATCTTACAAAAATCGTAATGAAGAAAAATATAAAGAAACCCAGAGAATCATCCGAAACAAAATCAGGAAAGCCAAAGAAGAATGGATGAGCAGCAACTGTGAGGAACTGGGAGATTTACTGAAAAAGCATGACTACTTTAATGCGTACAAAAAGATTAATTCTATCTAGTCCAGAAAATGTAGGAGATATGTGGGAAAAATACATCAAAGATCTGTTTGATGACGAGAGAACAGAACCATAAATGATTATAGTACAAGAAACAATACTTGATATAATAACATCGGAAGTTACAAAAACAATCAATACGGCAAAGCCACGAAAAGCCTCAGGTCCAGATAAAGTATATGTAGAGATGATAAAGCTTATCAATGAACAAAATCTTCAGACGTTAACACTATTATTTAACAAAATATATACCACTGGAATCTTCCCAGAAGACTGGCTTATATCGACATTTATACCTATACCCCAGAAAAATAAAGCAAATAGATGCTCACGGATTAATTAGACTGATGAGCCATTTTCTGAAAATTTTACTCCAAATTGTACATCAACGAATATACAGAGAATGCGAAAGAAACCTGAGCGACAATCAATTTGGATTTCGTATGGGGCTTGGTACAAGGGAGGCATTATTTATCCTCCAGATATTACTACAAAAATGCCGAGATCGGCGAAAAGACGTGTTTCTCTGTTTTATCGACTACGAAAAAGCGTTTGATCGAGTAAAATACACAGAACTCATAGAAACCCTAACACAACATGGTATAGACCATAACACTGTAGCACTTATTAAAAAAACTATATTGGGATCAAATGGCGTCAATCAAATTAGACATTCGTCTGACAGCAGAATTGTCAATAAAAAGATGAGTTCGTCAGGGCTGTGTACTTTGTCCACTGTTATTTAATATATATTCAAAAAAGATCTTTCAAAATGTTCTCGAAAATATTGAAGAAGGAATAAAAATCAACGGAGAATATGTAAACAACTTAAGATACGCAGACGACACCGTCATTATTGCGGACAGTGATGAGGGTTTGAGATTGGTATGGTGTAGATACAAGCATGCTATTTAGGGTGGCAGTGAATAAAATTAAAATAGCTATGATGGTAACCAACGTTCTGAAAGGACATGGTACATGAAGAAGAAGAAGATGAGGGTTTACAACGACTTTTGAATTTCATAACCAGAGAGGGAGATAGCTTGGGACTAAATATAAACACAAATAAAACAAAAGTATATTAATATTCGTATCTATAACAAACATATAGAATCAGTACAAAGATTCCAGTATCTTGGTTGCTGGATAATAAACGATCTTGACCAAGAGGTCAAAATACGTGCTCGTATAGAATATGCTAGGTCCGCATTTCAACGAATGAACAAATTCCTAATAAACTCTACGTTATCGTTGGATATCCGTCACCAATTTCTAAAAACGTTTATTTATTCCATATTGCTATACGGAGTGGAAACATGGACTCTAGGAATTACAAGTATGAAGCGTATAGAAGCCTTTGAGATGTGGGTTTTTAGAATGATGCTGAAGATCTCTTGGACAGAGCACGTGACCAACAACGAGGTTCTAATAAAAATGGGTACTGAGAGAGAACTTCTAAATATTGTAAAAAACAGAAAAGCGAGTTATCTAGGACATATTTACAGAGGAGAAAAATACAACTTCCTACGACTTATAATGGAAGGGAAAGTGAGAGGAAGAAGAGGTCCAGGAAGAAGAAAATGCTCCTGATTAAAGAATGTAAGAGACTGGATAGGCATGGACACACCATCTATATTCGATACTAAGAACAGCTCAATATAGAGAGCAATTTGCTGTCTGTTTTACTGTAATTCATATTTTTTTATGGTTCAAAAATTGTTCATGACCTTAGTTACCTTCATTATGTCCTAAAGTGTAAGTCTTAGAACCTGACACTTATTTGGTGACGTCAATCTACAAACGAAACAATGAAATCAGACATTACTGAAAACATTTAATTATCTGCAAGGCATTCTCATAACAAGACAGAGTTAAACTACTTTTGGCATTAGTAAAATAGCTGGAGTAATTTTATTGTTTCTTTTGACAGTCGTTTTTAATACTTCAGATTGAATTCAGTATGAAATTAAAATAGTTAATGTGTTTAGGATTCATTTTTTTTTTATTAAGTTTTGAAATATCCCTACCCTAAACATTAGAGTTGAATATGTCTTTATCATTTACATTTATTAAACGACAATCTTATGAAAAATAATAACCTTATTTTATATAAATTGCCGTTTTATAAATTAGAAACGTAAAAACGAAAAAAGTTAGACCTTATGAGTGTACTTTTAATTTATATTTTTATTTTGTTCCATAAAAATTAACCAATTTGTTGTTTATAGGAATGTGGATGATGTTCACGACATCATGGATGACATAGCCGAACAACACGACATAGCCAACGAAATCACAAACGCTATTAGCAACCCTGTTGGATTCACCGACGATCTGGACGATGATGAATTAGAGAAAGAATTAGAAGAGCTCGAACAAGAAGGATTGGAAGAAGACCTGCTTCAAGTGCCAGGTCCCACTCAACTGCCGGCTGTGCCTACTGATGCAGTTGCTAATAAACCAATCAAACCAGCAGCTAGTAAGTATTTGTGTTGATGTATGTACATATAAAAGGGATTTAATACCGTTAAAATAACGAGTTATTTTATCAGGTCGATTAGATCTCATTATGAAACTGCTACGCTTATTCTGGGTTTCCCTTAAAATTTGTATGTATCTTTGGGTGTATCTTTCATTATTTTCTCCATTCCTACTTTGTTTTTACAAAGTAAGGAAACGAAATAAAGTGTTTACTTACTAAATACACTCAAATGCAAAAAAAACGCAACGGAAAATATTTTGGTCAAATTCAAAGTATTTCAGTTTTTTATTTTTAGCCCTATTTTGATGATTTTTTTAGCACACTGTGTAAACATTTATAGATTTTAATTTAGTATATTAAGTTTTTTAATGGGTTAATCTAAAGGTGGTTTTTTATCCTAACTTTGAAATATCCTGTGAAATAATTCCGTTAACGGATTTTCATAAAACCTTGTTTTTCGGTTGCAACCATGTCTTCTAAGTATTATGTTTTTGTTTCATGTGAAAATATGGTTTGGTTTATTTTTAAGAGCGGAATGATTTTGCCACCCACCATTTACGACTTTTCCTATTATTACCGCTATCTTTTGTAATTTCTAATACGACAATGGGGCTTTGGTGACTGATATCGAAGGAATGTCATATCGATATCCCAGAGGCACTGTATTTAAATAATAATTAAAAACAACGACATGATCTTGGTTCTAACGAACAATGATAACAATAACAAATAAAAAAAAAACAACGTAAATGTAACTTTACCTAAGTACGCAAATAACAAAGAAAAACTACTAAAAAATAACTTATACTTTGTATTGCCTTCCCCAGCCTCTATAACTGCCTGCTACATGTCGGCTCATGCTGTCTATGAGGTTGCGAATATCATCTTGCTGGATGTTTTGCCGTTCCTCTTCTAGAACCAAGCGAAGTTGGTTAATTGAGGCTGGTGTGATTTCGCAACCTATAATATTTCTACCAGGCATGTCCCAAACGTGCTCTATTGTGTTCAGATCTGGCGAACTCGCTGGCCACTTCATTTTATTAATACCAACTTTCTCTACATATTGTGTGACGCACATTGCAGAGTGGGGTCGCTCATTATCTTATATTAATAGAAAATTATCGCAGCAGATATATTGAGAAAATGGTACTACGTGATTCGCTAAAATTTCCTCAATATACCGGTGTGCAGTCATCGAACCCTCAATAAATACCCACTTAGTGTGCGCCTCTTGGGATATTCCTGCCCATACCATTACCGAACCCTCTCTATGGCTAACGCGGGGACTGAAAGCGCACTCCGCAAATCTCTCTCCAGTACGACGCCATACTCGTTCTCTCCCATCTGATAAGTGAAAACAGTATCTCGACTCATCCGTAAAAAGGACATTACTCCATTGTCCTAAGTTCCAATGTAAATGTTCCATGGAAAATTGTGGTCTAGTCTACCACTTTGCCATTGCTCCGAAAAACATGGCGTCGTATAATTTTTGATTCTCCCGGATTCGTTCTTCCTCCGCCTTCTTTATTTGCTGAAAATTTCTTTTGAAATTAAATCTCCTACGGCAGCTCCTTTGGGACAAATATTAGAACTGTAATATTAGGACCAAATAGACTTCGTCAATTTTATCGAAAGTGAAAATATCTTATATGTAGAGTATTTGTCAGTTCTGTCATTCCACGCTGTTAAAAGTAATATGGGGTACCGTCTCATCTAAAAATTTTAGAAGATCATCGCCTTTCATACCAACACCTATGCGAGACACATGCACATGACCTTGTCTAGGAATGATGTTTACAGTACACGATTCGTTGCTTCCAATAATCGGTTTGTATTTGCTTTCTTTTTTCAATTGGGTATTCCAAGATGAGTGTCCTGTTTTTAGATTGTTTTTATTTTCTTTTTGTTTATGACTCATGTATGAATGAGGTACATTTGTGTTTTTGTTTAATGACATTTTAATGGGTTCGTGAATGGTAGAATCTGAATTGCTCGGGCCTGCTTTATTTACAGCTTTTTCGCTAGATGACGTTGGTATGGTCATGGATGAATTTTTATTATATTTATTTTTTAATAAAGAAATTAAATCTTGTCTCCCCTCCGTACGTTTTTTTAGATGGAATGATAGTTTACTTACTGCTGCAAGTTCACTTTGTATTTTAGTTAGTTCCTTGCTAGTCTTTATACACTGATCACGCACAATAACGTCTAGGTTATGTTCGACATCCTTTTTGTACTGTTTGTGTTAATTTATTAACGTACTATGATAGCTGAGGATTAGAACCGGACAGTGGTAACTTTAAATTCACTATTATGTCAATTAATTCCTACTTTTTTAGCTTATTTAGTTCCGTCGTTAAAACTGCGACTTGACTATCGGACGCCATTTTGAAAATTCTAACAGACAAAACCTTTATTATGTTTATCTTGTCCCCTGTTCTATATCTTAACATCTATTGTTTAAAGAAATGTGTCCAAGTATTATTGTTATAAATTTATTTATTATATTTTCTTCTTTTTCAGGAAAAGTTGAAGATGATGACGATATGAAAGAATTGGAAGCCTGGGCCTCATAAAATTCCTGAAATCTGGAAATTTTTAAACGTAATCACCCATCTAAGATGAAAATCTTATAAATATATAGGTAATAACAGCTAAAAACGTTTCAATGTAGATCAAGCTTTTCCTGAAAAGGCGTCTTGCTAAAAATGTTGATAATTTATAATTCTCTATATATTGTATATTTGCGCTTTAAGGAAAGATTTCTTATAGTCATAGTTCAACCAAACATTTTATAAATTTGAATAAAAGGGTGTCAGAATTCTACGTGAATTTATTGAAAAAAAAAACTTTCCTTAAAGTTGGCATAAGAATATTTTTTGAAATTGTGTAAATAGGTAAATGTATGCTATTACTAATGGTTTTAATATTGGGTTTAGAAGCACCTTAATTTTATTTTTATACAAGGTAGTAACATTTTTTCATTGTAATTTGTTAAAAAATATTGTATAACTTAAAAAATGGTGTGATAAAGCAAAATATTATTGAGTGCTCTTTGTCTCATTTGATTAAAGATCTTATTAAAGATAAATATATTGGGTATCTCAGAATATGTTATAGCTTTTAAGTTTTGTTAACTGTTTATATAACAAAGGTTTCTTATGCCAACTAAAATACCAATTTCTTTATTACTATGGTTCATTTGATTGCGTCTATATATCTTTAATCTGCCATAAAAATGTTTTGAAACTATAGTCTCTGGCGTTTGTGATTCCGTGGTCTCTCCTGTCGCCCATACACAACATATGTTGTATAAATTATTGTAGCAATTCCTATATGCCGTTTTCAGATTAAAACTAGTTGTTAGTACAGCGAGATTTGTTTCCGGGATATTTTTTGACAGTTTTTTGTTTTCTTATAGTTGTTTAAAACTCCTAGTTGAGTTTTATGATACTATTAAAGAATCTTAAGGATAACATGTACTATGTCATAATTATAAAATCAATCCTCGCCTATAAGGAAGTACTTGGCGGAAGTAGCGTTAAAATGCTGTAAAATGTCGTACACGTGATAATTATAATTGAGCGCAAATCTAAGGAAACGCGCTGTATGCTTTGAAAGGTTGGTTTATAGAGATCCAGACAGCTATGTGCAGCTGTAGATTAAATGAAGTTATTATGATGATACGATAAGACGGAGAAGCTTATGGGTAAACTATGAGTTGAAAAAATCCTTAAATCGATATAAGTAACGGCCTGCAAAAGCTAGACAGTTACAAGGAAATCTAATCAAATAGTTTATAATAGTGATGTTGACTATGTAATACAACTAATACTTATGCATATTCTGTGTTCGAAACATAATATAATAAGGTGTTTTCATCAATGATCAATTTGAGTTTTTTACTTGTCAGTGTGTTTGGTACTAATATTAAATACCCATGATTATTGTTCTACATTCGTTATCGGTTGGAGAAATTTCTAAATTCAGCAGAACAAAAGTTAATATTTGTTACGAGAAATTAGCTACCGTAAAACAGTCAATTCTCAATAAATCCAGTTTGCTTGATGGAAAAAAAACTTAACCTTTTATCAGGAAGACTTGTGAGAAGACTGAACTGGATCGAATATTTATTTTGTTTATTGTTTTTACTCGACGAAAAGAGTACAAAAAAGTTGTTGATTTAAATAAGTAATTTGTTGATGTACTAGTGCAATATAAATTTTCCCAATATCGACATATAATTTTTATAAACTTGAGTTTATAGCACAGAAATCTATATAAGGTTAGTTGAATAATGTACATCTTTGCGACTGACAGCGATTATATTTTGGAACAAGTAATCAAGGAGTTTGATTAGTATTCGTTTTTCACATGACTTTCTAGTGATATAAAAAATTTTAATTAGTAATTAAAAATTAAATTTCGTAAAAATCAAATAAAATATTGTGTTTTAGGATTTCTCTTATGGAAACTATAATTTGCGGGAAAAATTATATTTTCATTTTAAATCCGTCAACATCCTTATTACTATATAAACAAACCTATAAGTGTTTCAGTTGAATACCAAATTACTGGTTTGAAAAGTTCGTGGCCTGCTAATATTTTGAAAGAAGTTTTATTTTTCAGCATAATTTTAAGCGGTAACCAGCAAGAAATGACTTCATTTTTGAAAATAGATGGAAGTCTAATTGATTCAAATCTAGGATTTAGGTGAGCATTCCAGCATTTTATAGTGTAGATCCACAAATTCCCCCACTAACAAGACTTTTTGTGGACAGTTTCATTGTTCTGATGGAAAAGAATTAATGATGATTTCAAGATCTTTTCCGCCGATGACACCGTCCTTGCATTCTTTTAGATTAAAGAAATGTCTTTTATCAACTGCTTAAACTGCAGTTTGGTTTCGGGAGGATATGATAGGTTTTTTTCACCTTGTGGAAAATTTTACACATGTGTGACTTTCAACATGTGTGAAAAACGTACATGTGTGAAAATTTTCCACCTTGTGGAAAACTTTGTAATGTTCAATTCCTGGTGTAAGTTGTGACCAACACATTACGATGCGCATATTTATAGATGAAAACAAATACTGCAGTCAACCGCTGTCTGGAATAACATACAATTTTAAATGGTATCTACTAACACGTGTACCAACGGGGAGAAACCATTAGAATTGCATTCCGTTTGGTCAGTTAATGAGAATGGAGACCTAGTAAATTACAGGGCGCAAGACCAAAAGAAAATCGACGGAAAATGTGGGACGATAAAGTCAGAACCTGCAGAAGATCGGGGCGGGCCCAGCAAGATTGGGCGCATAGTTTGGACGAGGCCAAGGTTCGTCATTGTAGAGAGAGAGAGAGAGAGAGAGAGAGAGCATTGCGACTTCTGAGCGAGTTCAAGAACTTATCAGACCGCATTATTAAATCATATATAATTGGATTATTATTCATTTGTTCCCTGTACAATTGTTTTTCATACTTTTTCAGAGAAGCTTTTTATCTAGTATTAAACCATGATTTTTTTTTATTAATTGAGTACACACATTTAGCGCGTTTGCATACTACGAGACACCCAGTATATAAAATATGCATTACAGTGTTTTTATTTGGACCTTGTGTACCTGTAACCAACATTCACCAAATTTTGTTTTGTAATTAAGCTTTTAAATTGAAATACAGTAATATATTTTGATTCACATATATAGTGTTTTCTTTATTTTAAGTGTCACAAACATGTTGGGGAGCATCCACAAACTGCGTTGTAAAAAATGTTGACTTTTAAGACCCCCTCCCCTGTGTCGTAAAGAGTCGTTTTCAATCAAGGCTCTCGTGTCGCCGTTGCAATTACATGCAACTCATGACTCCCCTTTACAGTGATTTTTAAAAAAATTCAATGTTCTGTATTTTTTTAAACTAACTATAAAACGACATCGGATGTGCACTCGTGCCCCCTCTCCTTCTTGTCGTAATACACAAAGTTTTTCTCTAAGACGTATTTTATGGATGTTCCCTTATCCATCGACTGGATTGCACTTTTCAGTTATGAGGATTTTAAGAGAGAAGTGAGAGTCTTAAAAACACTATATGGCGAAACACTAAGATGAAATCAAGAATTTATAAAGCTATTATATGACGAATAACGTATGCATGTGATACAAGTCTCAACACAGCTATAACACAAAGTCTATTAGAAACAGTGGGGATGGGAATACTGAGAAGAATTACTGGAAATACTTTGTGAGGGACAGAATGAAAAATGAAGACATAGGATGTAACATTAAAACAAACGAGTGGATATTACACAGAAAAAAGAATGGAATAGTCACATGAGTAGAATGGAGGAGACCACTGAGCGGTCAAAATGTCTAAAGATAATTAACCAAACGTTAGAAGTATCTGCCACCGTGCAAAATATGAAGTACCAACCTTCCATAGAGGTGTTAGTCCGCCACAAACCATAGACAAACAATTACGTGTGAGCGGGTGCATTATCGTGAGGCAATACCCATAAGTCTTCATGAGCAAACCGCCCTACAAAAATGCATGACATGAGCTAACATTTGCAGCAACTTCTCTATTAGTGATTTGAGGATACCCCATAATAATTTTTTTCACTGCTCCAACGTGCTGGTGCGTCCAGAGTGGGCATTGTCATTAACATATCTGGCCTCTGCGAAAAGCGCTAAGTACGTAAATACGGTTTTCTGCTTAAAGTACACTCGACAAATGCCACAGTTAACATTTTAATTGTTAGGGAGCACGCATACATTTATTTTCCGCACAAAATTGAATACCATTTGATCCATTTTTTTTTCAATGGCACAAAAGGGTCATGTTTTACGCTATACCTAACATAAACTATGCAAAATGGCTGTAAAGTCAATATAGTGGGGACATATGTACCAACATAACATAAAATAAAAACTGAAAAATGAAATGTAAAGATTGGCTGGAGGTAGAGAAATTATTGAATTAATATCTTTGTTGAAAATCGTTAATAGATTAAACTGACTACAATCCTATGCCTAAAGATACATATTACAGTCTTATTAATAGCATAAGCGATTTTTCATGTTCCATCTTGAATGAATTTTAAAATGATATTAATATATGACGAAGTTTACTAAGCCACATTTTGAAGTTGCTGGCAAAACTAATTTGGAATTTTACCATTTTTTGTGTCTATTTTATTATTTTGTTTGAATGTGTGCATTAAAGCTATTAGACGATAAACTTAAGTAAAGCATTATTATTTTATATATTTTTATAATTGATCGCAGGTACACAATGCTCCATATTTATTTCTGTATCGTAAAATCACGAATTTTATAAAAAATCATCGAATTAGAATTATCCAAATAATCAACCTAGTCATTTTTAATATGAATAGATCCTTAAAATAATTATGGGATTTTTAAATAAAGAATAGCTGTTTCAGTTAATTGTGCTTAAAAGTGTATATTTTTCTAAACAATGGAACAATTAAGTTTAGGTGTAATTTGCTAAAACATTAATTAAAAAACGTTATTAATAAAACGTATTTCCATGGCTGTTATAAGTTTTTTATTTGAAACCTGCAGTGCAATGGATAAAACACATTATTTTTTATTCAAATTTCCCTAAAATATATGTTTATTATTCAAGAAGCTTAAAAATATTAAAATACTAAAAAGTGGGATTATCGCTTTCATATAAATTGTATTTCTTATGTAATTTACATCTTCGTTACTTGCTTTGCCTATTCTTCAGTAGGCGTTCTTTTACCTTCCTTCTCTACTCCTTCCAGAAACCATATACTCAGCGATTTTTTATAATGGATGACTATTCTTCTAACCAGAGAACTACGAACACAGAGAAGCGACACGAGCCCCGAAATCCGTGTACCGTTTCTGTAAACGCATGCCCGAACCTGGTTGCTTTACTGTCAAAAACACGTGCGTTTTCTTCAACTCTGGTTGTTTACGATAGTTCGTAGGCACCTGTGGTAAATACTCGACTATACAAGTGCATTTGACCATTTATCTAATTTACTTACTAGTTAAAAGTTTATAGTTATAGTTTATAGTTAAAATATATAAGTTTATAGCTATAGTTTATAGTTAAAAGTTTAATTTATAAGTATTAAAAATATCTTCTGGTTATTGTTGTACGTTTCGCGGATGTTCATCTGTGACAGGAAAAGGAATAAGTTTGTTTAGATTTCCTAAGAATAATAACAGGTAATTACTATTGCTTTATTATTAGTTATTACATAATAGTATTAATTTAACTTTCGATCAGTAAACCGACGCCGACGTGTCCGTCCGAGCTCTCGTTAAGTGGAGCAATAAAAAAATAAACTTTGGTCTGCCAAGGGATAGTTCAAAATAAAAACATTAAATTTAATGTTTCCGAAGGCTCAGGTCAAAAAATCAACAGATGTTGCCTACTGGTGTGAAAGCGCTCGCAGACAACAATACGAATATAGTATTTTTAGGAAATAAAAATATATACAGGGTTTTATACACGAGAATATTTGATTTAAACAAAACAAAGAAATTCCTAAAATGCTCAGACTAAAAATTGTTGGAAACATAATAGACCGATAATTGAGAAAATTTTAAAATTACAACAGAACAAGACTTCAAACTAAAAACATGGTTGCAAATAAACAAACTTATATTAAATTATGAAAAAAACTAAATACTCATCTACTTTTTGCTATATACAAAAGTTGTCTGTCAATGTTTAATTTGTTAAATATAAATAACAAAGATCAAATATCTGAATCGGAGTACACAACATATTTAGGGAATAAATATTTAAATGGAAATTACAAATAAAAAATATTAAAACTTTATTTGTTGTATATCTCAATATTTAGTGACAATTTTGTGAGTTAATCAGGAGAAAACTGTAAATTTATTAAGATGAGATATTGACAAAAGTTAAATACTTCATTACTTACAATATACTTAGAATATACTAATACTCTTATAGTTGTAAGTAATAAAGTATTATTTATAAATACAAAAAGTTCTTTGTTTAAAATTTATTCTGTTAAAAATTTGTAGTGCCAAAATGTGGATAGAAGCTTGCAGACGAGAAGATTTATTGTTAAAAATGGATATACTTTACAATAGTTATAGGATTTGTGAACTACATTTTGAAGATAATCTGATTGTCAAAAAAAATAAAAGAAAAACATTGGTGCATGACGCAGTACCTTCCAAATTTCAATATAATACGATAAACACAATTGATATTTCATATTTATTGAAAGTCCAAATAAATGCTCAATTTTATTTAAGAATTTATATTGTGTAATATTCCCACTGACTATTAGTTAGCTGGTTGCTTTCCTGTCATTTTCACTCATTGGCGGCTTGCCCACGCAAGATCAAAGGAGTGTCGCTTCACTCGCTTCTCTGCGTTCGTAGTTCTCTGATTCTAACAGGAAATTAAACTCACGATTTAATTTATTTACACTGTTTATTTATTACTCTTAGAATATGTATTTATTTATTCATGACAAAAGATTACTTAAAACTGTTAAAGATGATACTGAAACATAAAATTAAAAACTTGGTGTTATATCCCAGATAACAATATAAACTTTATTCAGACTTGCAACAAGTTTGATATATCAAAAAAGAAAGAGTGCTTCCAGTTTGCCGTGTCAACTGTACTCACTTACAGCAAGTTTAAATTAAACTTGCTAGTTACAATGCGACAAACTTGCTTGAAGTTTGTTTTGGCATAATACCATACCTCGCGGTGAATCCGGACAGTAGGGGCGAATTCGTACAAAACCGCCCCTGTCTATTTTTCGTCACTGTTACCAATACGCGAACTCACAAATCAACTATTTGTACTGAATTTTGTCGGGTCTGAGTTAGTAGTCGAGATATTGGTGTAAGTGACATCGTAAAGTTTTGTTGACTCATAGGTACGTATTTTATAACCTTTAAATTTAACCTTAAAAAGAAACTGCTGTACAAGAAAAGCAATTTTATGTAAGAGCTAGGGAGTGGCAACAAACTGTTTAGTGGTTTGTTGACAATCTATGGATAAAATATTATAGTTGTATTTAGCCTAGTTTTTTTAGAAATTAAGTGCGACAGTACAAAAAGAAAGTAGCTATAAACTTCATGAATTACAATTCAGAAAATATGGAGACAGCTATTTCTGATGTTAGGAATAAAATGAAAACCTTACGACAAGCTGCTGAATATTCTCGTGTACCAAAATCCACCTTGCATGATAGACTTAAAGGCAAATCGACATTTCAACAAGGTGAAGAAACTGCACAAGAAGAAAGAATGATAGCATAAGGTATAGTGCGTGCAAGCACTCTTGACCATGGAGCTACGCGAAGGCGGAGTCAAATTCACGTAAAGGCAGAAAGGTTCTATTGTAAGTGGAATTATACAGTGCATAGTACAATGCGTTTCGCACGGAAGTGGGGACTAAACCAAATTTTGTCTACTGCGCCGTGGTCAAGAGTGCTTGCACGCACTATATCATGAACTTTTGTGAATGGGGGTTTCCCATGACCCGTTCTAATATAAGAGTTTTAATAAAAAGCTATCTGGACAGAAAAGGACAAACTATTAGAGTTTTTAAGAACAATCTACCCGGGATCGACTGGTTTTTTACATTCCTTAAGAAAAATAATGTTCTAACAGAACGTATGGCCCAAAATATAAAGCAGTGCA